CAGGATTATATTGAAATTGTTCATAGATAATTGAAGGTTGAATTTGCGTATTTAAATAGGTAATTCTTCCCCCAAAGGTTGAGTCCCCAACCCCAAGGGCGCCCCACACTCCGACCCGACAGAGCATTGTGGGAAGTTGTAAATCACGGTGACTCAATGGTTCAGCAGACAGGGCCAAATGCTGATACGCACAAGGAATCTGCCCACTTTGGATATAATTCCCGCACTGCCGCCGCCGAGGTTCAAACCTTCGTCTCTTCACCCAAATACTATCCACTAAACCATTGAGCTAAGCCCGTGCGGGTTAAATAGGTAATTCTAAGTTTACAAATGCAAGATAATATAGTCAAGATTGATTATAATTGTCAATAAAATAATTGTATAGGTATCGTTGAAACCAAATACGGGACATAAGGGAAAACAAAAAAAAAATTAGGACATAAAATATTAAATATATACTAATATTGTTTGAGGAGATTCCGACATTAGGATTTGTGGTTAAGTTCTATTAAAACTTTAATATTAGAATTAGATTAATGGTGTAGTTATAATTCTATATTAGACTTTAATATTAGAATTAGACTAACGGTGAATTAACGGAAAAGTTAAATGGATAATCATATAATTAAGGATAAATTAGAAAATCTTAAAAGAAAAAATTAAAACCTGAACAATATGAACCATTCATTTGATTTAATAATTTGGAGGTCATTTTTTCTACCCAATGTTAATAATTAAATAAATTCGCTGGTCAAATCTGCTAGTATAATCCGCTAACGTTAACCGCTAACTGCTGATTGTCAAACAAGGACATTGCGAGGTAGTTCTCACTTCAATTTGTTGTGTGATTTGAATACTCTCGTTGTCACAAAATCTCTCAAGTAGTTAATATGGTTGACTTTATTAATTATATTTTTTTAATTTTTTCATGGTATTAATAAAATACTTGGTAAATAAATATATATAGCATTATTTTGTATTATAACTTTGATATTTAATTAGAAAAATAGTGCACAAAAAAGATAATAGATAATGTAGTGAATATAATCAATTGATGAATTTGAATGTAAAAATTTTTACATTTGAGAAAAATAAAGACAATATAACTAATGAAAATATTTCTTTTAATTAATTTATTGATAATTAATAAAAAAAATTTCACTGAATAAAGACATTGTAAGGATAATGTAGCGAATATAATCAATTAATAAATTTGAATATAAAGAATTTTTATATTGAAGAAAAATAAAGACAATATAACTAATAAAATTATTTCTCTTATTTAATTGATTGATAATGAATAATTTTTTTTTTTGAATAAAGGCATTGTGGACACATAATTCTAAATTAAAGAATGCATATGTATTATTTTTTATTGTAACTACTAAATTATTATTTATATAATTTATTTAATAAGAGTACAATAGAGTACTAATTATGCCAACTTTGATTGGGATGAGATTCAAACCTAAGACCTTTTTTTTATTGAAATCAATGAGTAAGTTAACAGTGAACTAACGGCAATTCTTAAAATTTTAACGGAATTAGTAACAATGTGTGATTATTTTAGAAAATTTTAGTGTAAAATTTAAATCTGTTCAATCTTTTAATTAATCTGAGCTATTCATTTGATTAAAATCTGTGACCGTCATTTTTTCTACCCATTATAGGCCTAACTCTCTTGGGCTCTTATTAGTATAGTAGATAGATAGTAGATTATTAGTATAGTAGATTATAGTATCCCGTCATTCCCGTGTTAAACTTGATCATTACAACATAAATTTAAGATGGGTAAACAAAATTTTCTTTGATTTTATTCTGTAATCTTAAATTAAAATTGTTCATATGTTTTAAGCAAATTTTTTTTTTATGTTAAGCATATTAAATAAAGGCAAAAACTTGTGTGACACCGTCTCATAAATCTTTGTCTGTGAGATGAGTCGTCTTGTAGACAACTGAGTGTGTAAGTATCACAATTTTAATTATAAGTATTATAATATTTTTATTAGTAACAATCAATTTTATCTAAATAGTATCACAATTTCACTTATAAATACTACAATATATATCATAAGTAACGATTTATTTTTAATTCAAATTAATAAATTTTTTACAATAAATATTACAATTTCTTTCAAAAGTAACATTTCACATATAAGTATTATACTATTTACATTAGAATTACATTTTGTAAGTATATATCACAATTTCAATTATTAGTATTACAATATATATCATTAGTAACAATCATTTTACCTTAAATAGTATCACAATTGCACATAAATATTACAATATCTATTATAAGTAATCGATTTTTTAAAAAATTGGTAATAAATTGTTTGTAACAAATATTATGATTTTTATCATAAGTAACAAGCAACTATCTTAAATTTAACCCATCTCACGAATTAAAATTTGTGAGACGGTTTCACGCAAGTGTGAGTCTTAAATAAATAGTCCCCACATAAAGCATTATTTATGAAATAGCTTAATTCGTGAGACGGTTTCACGCAAGTATGAGTCTTAAATAAATAGTCCCCACATAAAGCATTATTTATGAAATAGCGTGGATATACTTTTTCCACCAACAATTACTAATAACTAGTAAATTACCCATGCGATACACGAATAAATTTTTTTATTATATATTAAGATAATAAAATTAAATATGAAATTGTAAACAATTCTAATATTGGATACTGTACATTTATTTGATTATAAGATTATTGCAAAATTAACTAGCTTGGTTGACATGAGTGGTCGTGCATTCTTATTTGATTATAAATTTGTACGCATTTTTTTATCTTGCATCTTTGTGTTGTATAAACTCAACAATATATGTATATATATATATATATATATATATATATATATATATATATATATATATATATATATATATATACATATATTGTTGAGTTTATACAACACAAAGATGCAAGATAAAAAATGCGTACAAATTTATAAATTCATGTAATCATGAATTAATTTCTACCTACGAGTATTATATATCAATTTTGATAGTTTGTAATTTTGATTAGTTTTTTAACAATTTATTTACAAACAAAGTTAGGTAAAGTAAAATTAAGTAGGGAAAAAAGTTTCCCGCCTAAGTGTGAATGCATATTAATGGATTTGTAAGATCATTATTTTTATTGTGTGTAAACCACGAGATGGTCCGGGTCTTTCTCTGCCCGTTTAACTTTGTAAGATCATTATTTCAAATGACATTAGCAATATGAATGCATTTTTTTGTCATATATTGTCTTAACATCTAAATATTATAATGTATAACTATACTTCCATTTTCAATAAAATTAATTCTGCTTTATATCATAACATTACAACAATACTTATAAATTTTTGTCCGTGCATCGCACGTGACAAATACTAGTATACTTTAAATATATTCCTTCTCACCATATGGTCTTTACTTTTTCCCTCCTCCTCCATATGAATGAATTAATTGTAATTATTATAAAAATAAATCCAACGAGTCATGTTTAACTGAAATTATACTAATATTGTGCAATTATAATTTTATACCTTAAGTATACATACATACATACATGTATGTATGTATGTATGTATGTATGTATGTATGTATGTATGTATGTATGTATGTATGTATATATATATATATATATATATATATATATATATATATATATATATATGGCCAGGTTTCAGTGCTGCAAGGCCTTAACGTGAGGTCAGGGTGTGTGCGTGTGCGTGTGCGCGTGCGCATGTGTACGTGTGTACGCGTGTGTGCGTGTGTGCGTGGGTGTGTAGGCGTATGCGCGTGTGCCAATCTTATACCTAATTAATTCTTTAATATTACTAAATTGATAGTATTGATATTACTAAATTAATTAATCTTATTCCTAATTATTCCATAATTCATAATATTGATATTCCTAATTAATTATATACATAATTAATTTATAATATTATTTTTTTTTTTAAATGCTACTGAATGGCTGACACGTTGACTGTCTTCATACTCTAAAAAAGAACCAAAGCACTCTATTACAATGTAATATATGTTCATAATATTATATTTTTCTTCCAAAAGGAAGAAATCCCAACCCTAAGGGCCCCCCACACCCCGGCCCGACAGAGCATTTGGGACTCAACTGAACATGAACCACAGAGGCTAGACTGGTGCTCACTGCGCACAAGGAGCCCCCCTCACTTTGAGAGGTTGTTCCTACACTGCCGCTGGTGAGACTCGATCCCTGGTCATTCTTCCAAAGTTTCACCTCTATGACCAGTTGAGCTACCCATGCGAGCCATAATATTATATTCTTGCCCTTACAGGGCGTTTGATTGGAGGGATTTTAAATTTCCTTCACACTTAATTCCCACCTAATTCCAAAGGCCATTAAATTTCGTAGTTTGGTTTGAGGGAATTACAATTCCATGGAATTGCAATTCTCCCATTTTCATAGAATTAAAATCCCATGTCCCCCCTGGTATTTTAATTCCTGGGAAAAAAGATAGTGATGAGTCAAAATTACCCATTCCTTTTTTTAACCTAAAATTAATGTCTAACAACAATAATGGACATTTTTGACTTTATACTACTTATTTCCTTTCAATTCCCATGTATACCAAACATTGGAATTGAAATTCCCAGTAATTCTATTCCTGTCAACCAAACACTGGAATTTAAATTCCCACTTTATTTCCCAGTAATTCAACTCCCATGAAATTACAATTCCTTTCCCACATAATTCCCCCCTTCCAACCAAACGCCCTATTAGGGTTGGGGTTCAGCCTTTTGGAAGAATAATATTATATTCTTAATTAATGTTATTTCTAATTAATTCATAATATATATAGATATATATAGATAGTGGCTGGAATAAGTAGAGAATGTATCCCTTTACATGTGAACACAACCCAGCTAGTTCTTTTTTCCCAAAAATCTCTCCCTTTAATTTCCCCATATATATATATATATATATATATATATATATATATATACAACACCCATCACCCAGACACCCACCCACCCTCTCTCTTATCTCCTAAATAAACACCAGAAAGAACCCATGTGTTAAAAGATCTAATAGTTTCAGATTGGATGAAAATGGTGGACACAGAGAGAGTTTGCAGGCTAAAGCTTCTGGTGGGGCTGATAGCCATAGTGAGTGGATTTGTGGGTTCATGGGCAGGGGCTCCTCTCCTCAATCCTTCCAAGTTAGAAATGTTTGTTGACAAACTCCCAGACATGCCCAGAATCAAAGGTTATAAGCTTGTTAATGGTGTTCCTGTTCCCAAGAAACTCAAGATTGGCATGTTTCACAAGAAATGGGTTAGTCTCTTCATCTTACAATCTCTATCAATTTGGTTTTAATTGATAGGCTTTCATGTTTTTTCCGCATTCAATATAATTCCCAAATTTCAATTTTTTTTTCCCTTTTGTTTTCTTGAAGAAAATTTTCATATCAATCAAATCTAATTTAAAAGGTATAGAATAAGAATAAAGCTTAGTGGAAGTGAGTATTTCTTTTCTCTTTTTTGGTGTGTAAGTGATGATTTTTACCATCGAACACTACATGGTTAATTCCCTCGTTAAGGCACATTTAATGGGTGGAACAGTTGAGATAGAGATTTAAGATTGTTTCATACCTAAAATCAAAGATCGTTTGAAGTGAGAGTGTTTTGTTTTGAATTGAACTTGGTCGATTAGAAAAAGTTAGGTAATAAAAAATGGTTAATTGAATTGATTGTGAGTAATTAAAAGTAGTAATAATACTGAAGTTACAAGTTTGATTCTCCATGGGAGCAGTTTATTGTAACCTATGTTGGTTTATCTTTTTGTGATTCTTTGACAACTAAAATTACAAGATGAGATTTACCGAGTGCAATCCCTATGTAATGATTGCGGATTTACCTTAACACTAAAAAAATAAAAATAAAAATAAAAAGAGTAAATAATACCACTATACTAGGGAAGAAATATTTGCATTTATATTTATTATTATAAAATTAGCATCATATTTTTTGTGATATCCCATATCATTCAACTTTTCAACTCTTGGTAATAATTATTGTGGAATTCCAGCACAAGATATGAAATATTCTTGTTTGATTACAAAGATTTTCTTGTGCCTTTCGCAATCGGTTTTAATTTGGAAGGGAAAGAATATCATTCCTTAGTTGAATTACGCTACTTGCTAGTGGCTTCACTATAAAATTCTACCACCAACTTTAGTCAATTAAGACTTATCTTTTCTTGGAAAATTACAATTTTATTGTTTCACTTCATTAATTAATTAATTATTAATAAATTAGTTGTTATTCGACTTTAAAATTTTCAGAGCTTTAATTCAACATCTTTACATCAAAACGTGATTATGATAATTAGCTATAAAAAAAAAAAAAAAGTATGTCCCCACTATTAACTATAAATTTTTGCATTGTTTGATGCTTGACTCGTTACGTTGTTGCACTACTTGTATTGGTCCAACTCACTCCATCACTACCAACTACCAAGAATCAACTCATAATAAATTCTTAGGGAAGAGACCAATATTCGAATCTCAATGGTGACATTGTGGGGTTATGTCAAAGTGGACAGATCTCTTGTACATGGCAAATTATTGTGTGGACCATAACAAAAAGTACATTTTAATATATTAAATGTACATTATTTCTGTATTCAATGTACATTATACAAAAAGTACATCATAATGTACTTTCATACTCAAATAATATACTTTCCTTGAATACAATGTATATTATTAACTAAAGTACATTATATTTGTACTAAATGTATATTATTTTATAACATACAAAATATGGTCTACACAGCTTGTGTGGTCCATGGTCCACACAATAATGATTGTTTGTGCACAGCCAACATTTGTTCATGTCTACTGAGTCATTGAGTCACCATAATTTACATCCTTCCCGGGTCGGGATGTGGGGGTGCTTGGAGTTGGGGATTCAACCTTTTTGAAAACAAAAATAATAATAAATTCTTGGACACTATAATATGAAGAGGAATAATTTAATCATTAAATTATAATTGGACAAAGAATCGATTGGATTAAGAAGATAATAATATAAGTTCCATGCTTTAATTAATATTTTATAATCGTATGTGATTTTGCAGAAATTCCACAGAGATCTTCCCCCAACCCGGGTGTTTTCATACGGTAGATCGAAGCGCAGGGCAACGATTCCTGGACCCACAATCGAGGCACTCCATGGAGTCGACACCTACGTGACGTGGAAAAATCGCCTCCCTTCAAAACACATATTGCCGTGGGACCCAACAATTCCGACGGCTATGCCAAAGAAGGGAATTCCTACGGTGGTGCACCTACACGGCTCAATCGGTGAACCCGCGAGCGATGGCAACTCCAAGTCATGGTTCACAGCTGGATTTCGCGAGCGGGGGCCCACTTGGAGCAAGAAGAGGTACCACTATCACAATGTACAACATCCTGGGACCCTCTGGTACCATGATCATGCCATGGGGTTGACCAGAGTCAACCTCCTAGCTGGCTTGATCGGGGCCTACGTCATCCGACACCACGATCTCGAGATCCCACTGGGCCTACCGTACGACCGCAAGTTTGACCGGCCGTTGGTTGTGTTTGACCGTAGCTTCCGTACCGACGGCTCGATATACATGAACCCCATCGGGAACAATCCCTCCGTGCACCCGCATTGGCAGCCAGAATACTTCGGCGACGCCATCATAGTCAACGGGAAAGCGTGGCCCTACATGACCATACGCCGAAGAAAGTACCGGTTCAGGATCATCAATGCCAGCAACGCAAGGTTTTTCAACTTCTACTTCAGCAACAACTTGACCTTCACCCACGTGGCATCTGACTCGGCGTACAACGAGGCGCCACTTGTCCTCCACCACATCCTACTCGCCCCTTCCGAAATAGCTGACGTGGTAGTTGACTTTTCCGAGTCTAAGTCTAAGTCAGCAATTCTATCCAACAATGCAGTATATCCTTACCCTTCTGGCGACCCCGTGGATGAAGTTAACGGTAAGGTCATGAAGTTCATCATCAAACCTGGCAAGGAGGTTGACACATCGCATATTCCAAAAAAACTGATAAGTTATCCTTCGCCAAGCTTGTCCCACGTTTCTAACGCAAGGTATGTACTGTTGGAAAAAAATGCAAGTTCTCAAATATCTTGATATATATTCTTGATTTAATATTCATTAAAAATTGGTGAGTGGTCAGATCTATTATGATAGTAAGTGGTTTATATCTACTTGGCTTATACTATTCAAAGGAGAACTATATTAGTCAAGACCAATGTTGCAAAGGGTGCCAGGCGGTCTAGTAATTCGAGTATATCGTCACAACTTTTCTCACTCTAGATTAGGAGTTGTTAAATTATTATAATATCCCGAACTAGTAAATTGCACATGTTAGATGATTAGTTGAGTACATGACTGGAGAAATATAGAAGAAGAGTAGTCGAGTAGGTAAAAATAAATAAAAAATACTCGGCCGAGTTGAGCACCAACTCGGCCGAGTTGAGCACCGACTTGGCGTATAGGGTGCCTAGTCAGCCAATTAGTCGGTTAGCCGACTAAAAGCCGCCTAGGGTTGAAACCGCCTTCGCCTAAACGGTTGCCTAGGCCGATTTTCACAACACTGGTCCAACATGAGACAGATATTGTCTGATTTCTTTCTTGTCCTATTTATTTTCACAACACTGGTTGACATGAGACAGATATTCTCTTATTTCTTTCTTGTCCTATTTTTAGTGTTTTTTTTTTTTTTACGTGATGTGTAAGTTCCAATCCTGGTATGGCTGCACAGAGACAGGATTGTTGTGCTAACTTCGGGGGAGGAGGGGGGGGGGGGGGGAACACTATTGTTACAAGCTACACCAGTAACGACGAATTTGCTTCTCCAGTAGTTATTTCACGACACAACATTTATTTATTTTTCACATTATCATCGTAATTTCAATCTCTAATAGGTACATCGCAATGTACGAGTACACGAGCTCTATTGACGAGCCGACACACCTATACATCAACGGCAAATCGTACGATGAGGCGGTGACCGAAACGCCAAGAGTGGGAAGCAGCGAGATATGGAACATCATAAACCTGACGGACGACAACCACCCTTTGCACATCCATTTAGGGCTTTTTAAGGTGTTGGATCAAACGGAGATAGTGGAGGAAGAGGAGTTCAAGGCATGCATGTTGAAGTTTAACGATGCGGTGAGGTGTAAGGTGATGGAGCACGCGCGGGGGAAGAAGGTGAGGGTGGCCCCTCACGAGAAGGGGTGGAAGAATGTGTACAAGATGATGCCTGGCTATGTTACAACAATATTTGTGAGATTTTCATTCATCCACTCAAATGCTTCTTACCCTTTTGATGCTACCGCACAGCCTGGTTATGTCTACCATTGCCATGTAAGCAAATTCTATTCTTCCTTTTTTTGCATTTACCCTTGCCACAAATTTTTTAATAATTTTTTTTGAGTACTATTGATCTGACTTTGTTATAATGTAGTATATGTGTCTATATATACTTTCTCATCATATTAAAACACAAAGAGTCAATGTCAGTGCACCCGCTAGACTCGAACCTATGACCTCCCATTTGGGAGAGCTACAGTTATGACCATAGTTAAAACACTAGTATATATAGATTTATTATAGGTATTAGATCGATGTTACGCATAAAGCACTCAAAATTACCCCCTCTGCAGTCACACTTTATGTGTTGATTCGGTTAACATGGCTTGACTGAGTTAGTTTGAATTTAATTTTTATAATATTAAGTATTTTATGTGTCGATTCGATTAACAATGTTTGACTGAATAATTTTGAATTCAATTTTCATAACATTAAGTTTAGTATTAGTATATAAATTTATATACTCCATCTATCTGATTTTATCTATCTCGTTTAAATTAACTTTTTCTTCTTTAATTATTTCTTTTATTATTTTAAATTATTTTTAAATTTAATTTTTTATTTAATAGTACTTTTAATGTATCTTTCAAATATATAAATTTTAAATACTAATACTAAACCTAATATTATAAAAAAATTAAATTAAAAATAAGAGTTAATTTCATTTTTTTATCTTAAATTTATAAGTTACCGTTTACCTTTTTTTTTTTTTTTTTTTCCAGTACATTCCTTTGTATAAGTCATAGTATTAATTTGACATACATTATTTGTTTGATTGAGATTGTTTTGTTTGATTCCAATGTGAACAATGTTTCTTGCATACTTGTCAGAATCTACATAGAAAAAAGCTTCTCTATTTTGTCGTCCTAAAATGGTTGTGCTGTTTCCAGTTCATGTGGCTCCAGAGACTAGGCATTTTATATATATTTTTTATCTAATGCATCTTTTCTTTTAATACATATATTTTTTTTAAAGAACGATAATAACTACTTTTATGATCGTTTCGATTTAAAATTTTAATGGTCAACTTTTATTTGATATTTTTTTGAGTAGTACTGACTTTATTATTTACTATTTTGTTCTTTGAAAATATAATTTAAAAGACATGTTTGTAATTTAGTTTCAGCAAAAATATATACTTAAGTCATGTTTACACAAAGTAAAACATTGATTTCACACTAGAGATGCATTACTATAAAATGTTTATGATCGAAAAAACAGGAGAGCAGATCAGAAATCTCAAATGGTTTATACTTTTCCTAATGTGGCCTTGTAATTGCTTCTAATAAGAAAATTACAATTAACAATAATCATTAAAATTTTATACTCTTTCAATCTCTAAATCTATCTTGATTGTTTGACATTATTAGTTATGATTATCTTTTTTACATATATGGTAGGTAATCAAATCGCATTCCTATTCCCTACCCCGTTTGGTAGTGCAAAACAGCCATCTTTATGTTGATTTGGTTTTTATTGCATCCTCAAAATAAGTTGTTTTATTTAATTAACTTTTGCAATTTATTTATTATTTTTAAATTTTCATGTTGCAGATTTTAGATCATGAAGACAATGTGATGATGCGACCGTTAAAGTTGGTACATTAAGAAGTGAAATTAAAATAATATAAACGATATATGGAAAGAAGGCAGTGGTTGGTGCTCTATAAATCAAATAGGCTACAACCTCTTTTTTTTTTTTTTCTTTTTTCTTTTTTTTTTTTCAATATTTAGATTGTATTCGGAGCACAAGAATAATCTAAAATATTGAAAAAGTAGTATTCAACTCTTACACAAACCGAAGATAATTAATAAAGGAAAACTTTCAGAATACAATACTTTGATGAGTGTTGGAAAATTGCGAATAAATCCAGCCAGTCTCTCAGGATAAAACGGGTTATAACTTTAAATTTGAGCATTCAAACGGAAGGTCTGTTGAATGAGAACAAAGGGAGAGCAATTCGTAGCTTTACGGAAGTGTTGGCAGAATTTCTTTTTAAGAAAACGATTTTGAGAGAGGATGAGAGAAAACAAAGATTTTTCCAAGTTCAAAATCAGCCACCAAAATTTGCCCCAACACCAAGGCTAGTTGTAGGGGAAGATGGAATAAATAGCATGTAACAATGACATTTAAAATCTGCATTAAATAAGATTTGTAACCCCCCAGGCAACTTAATCGGGAATTCAACACATCAGTTACAATTGTTAATTTTTTAGAAATAAAATAAATTGGAATTAATTCAAAAAATCAGAATTTACCCTTCTAGCTAGACTCCGAAGAATAATTCGAGCGGTACCCACGAATCGTTGCCTGAAGGTTATGAGTGGTCAACCATTTGGCCCCTATGCGCGCGAGAGAGAGCCTTTATGACCTTAAAAAGACTCTTGTACATATAGTGGTGCAAACCTATTCCCAAACCAATTTGGTACAAGTGCTTTTACAAATTAAAGTCTTTCCACCTTCATTTTCCAACTCAGATGGGTCTACTTTGAGAATCAATTTCTCATTCACCCATTATCCATTTTGAGCATACAATATATCAATATCTTCGTCTCACAATGAAGAACCCAAATCCACTTTGACTTGACCCAAATCAAAAGTTGACCCACATATATTTGTACCACAAAATAGTCACTTTCTATGTCGTTTTATGCTAAAATTCCAACAATGAGTGGTTCTCATGTAACACGGGCTCATAGATCCCTTATTTATGAGACTAATTGGGTTTATATGTGATGAGGATATGGGTTATGGGCTAAGATTTACTGGGCTCTTGGTATTAGGCTTGATTTGGTAGTGCATGTCAAAGAAGGTGGAGGGTCAAGGAAGGGATGATGTGCCAGCCCAGAAGGAGGGTGGCCAGGGGGGGTCGCCGGCTAGGGCATTGGCCCCCGCCAACAAGGCGTGCCCGCGCCCCTATTTCGGGAGTTGGCGTGACGGTGCTGTCAGTCGTTGGTGGCTAGCTGCACGGGGCGTTGGCCCCCTCTGGCTTGGGCGTGCCCGCTACCCCCTTTCTAGAGGTGGTGCGGCGTGGGGGTGGGGCGATGTGGTGTGGTGGTGTGTTTCGGCAGGGTGTGAAACGACGCGACATGGTGCGTGGACGTGGAACACGTGGAGCATGGAGGGGGAGTGGATCAAGAGTTGTACACTACACGTAGATAGTGCAGCGGTTGGGGGTTCTGCTATAAATAGGATGCCTTGTCTCTCACCAAGACATCATTATTTGAGCACTACAGGAACCCTGACTTAGTGGTCTCTAGTCTATACTCCCAACCCATCCACCTGTGTTCGACTCTTGTTAGTAGCATAATTAATTATAGCCTATTTTTGAGGCCTTAGTCTTTGTATTTGGGCCGTCATTTTGAACCTATACCTTGGGCTTTGTACGCATTATTTGGGTCTAACGTCCCGGACAATAATACTACTATTTTCCTACTACCGTTTTGTACCTCTATACCTGATTTATGGTGGACCGGTTCCAACAAAAACCATCAATATGAAATGTAATATTTATGATGCAAAATGTGATACTACTAATAAATAAATTAATTGTTACTCACAAGTGAAAAATGTACTCCGTAATACCTATGTTGGAAAGTAAGATACTTTTGAGGAAAATATAATACTTTTAAATCAAAATATAGTATTTAGGAGTTGAAAATTAGTTATGATAAAAATGGTAACACCGATTATGGATAAATTGATTGATTGTTACTTATGAGGAAAAAAATGCAATACTAATGGATAAATTAGTTGTTACTTATGAAGAAACGTGTAATATTTATGAAGAAAAATGTACTCTGTAACACTTTAAAATCAAATTATACTCCGTAATATTTAGAGGTAGAAAGAGTTATTATTAGGAAAAATGTAATACTTACAAGGAACTCAACCTTTCTCATGGATTAGGATCTGTGACACGGTCCAATAAGAGTTTTTGCCTACTTTGATTCATAATAACAATGATATGTTATGGAGTTTTACCAATGCTTTTATTAGATCTCATCGTCTTTAACCAAAACATGAATATCCTGTTTTATTTTATTTTATTTTATTTTTTTTTTAGACGTCCTAAAAGGACCATGGGTGGTTAGTTTTTAAAACATGGAGGACTATTAGAGGTCATTTAAAACTCGGATAACCATAGCGGGTAAATTGGTCCATAGCAGGTAAATTGGTAATACTCAGATCATTGGAGGTATTAACTCATTTTAGTAATTAACTCTAGTAAAAATATCAGCAAGTTACTTATTCAAAGAAATAAATTGTGCAACAATCTGTTCACAGAGAAAATGAAGTGCTTCGCTCAACAATGGAATATAGGATTCTGAGTTAAATAAATAGAATTGATATTGGCTTGTTTGGTAAAATAGTTAGTCTATTAGTTAATTTTGATATATTTGATCATTATTAGATGTTTGACTTGGTTAAACAATAAATATGAGTGTTTGATTAATTAGCTTTTTGTAATAACTTATTGTTCCAAAATATTAAAATTCAAAAAGCTGCTCAAAGTAGTTTTATCGATCAGCTTTTTGAGAAATTCATTTTGAATGTAATTAATCAGTTAACAACTAACAGCTAATTTATAAACACTTTTCTACAATCAACTAATGCTATCAATTAATCAAATCCACTAACCCAATCAGCTAACAACCATTTACCAAATATCCACATTATCACAAAACAAAATTGTTAAAAAGATTCACACATTGGAGAATTCAACAAACATACTTACTAAGCCTCTATCTATTACTAAATTCAAGCAGTGCTTGAATTTAGTAGGATATTCTAGTTATTAATTAAACTTATGGTGAATTAGATCTACAATGGACAACTAGGACTATGTGGTCTAATGGTATCCGGGTTGGACTTCCGTTTGGAAGGTTGTGAGTTCAAGCCTCAGTGGAGGCGTTATTAGCTCTTTGTGTTTCAGTAGGTTGAGAAAGTATATGAACAGATACTACAATGTAATAGAGCTAGTAACATTAAAAAAAAAAAAAAAGTGTGGCCCAAATTCATTCACAGACCACTTCTTCATCACCACCATAATTTGCCATGTTTTTCTCTTTACCGCAAGTTATGCGGATCTCTCTCAATTCTCACATGTATATATAGCACTAGTTTTTGTTATAATTAATGATGAATTCATCTTTCAATTTTAATACACATTCAGATAGCAGTCTCCTACATTAATCCCATTACATTATTGATGATGCAAAAGCCCAACGACAAGTTTAAGGTTTAAAAGGCCCATTAACAAAAAGTTGAGTAAAGAAGATTTGGAGCTAAAATTTATGTTTAAGAAAATTGATTATTAAAGTGGACCAAGAATTTGGAGATACTATTTATAATTTGGTGGCAAATATTCCTGTGGACAACTGGACATTGTCGGAAATAGTGTCGATTCTTTTAATAAAAAGAAAAGGCACTTGTTTTGTCCAACTAATTATATGTTTATAACATATTCAATTTTATTTTATATACACAGTAATTTTATTACAGCACAAGTTAAGTATCATTTCGATTCAACTACATTTTCATTTGACATTATATATTCAATTTTATTTTATACACACTCTATTTTTATTACAACATAACTAAAATATAATTCTAATTCAACTACGATTTCATTGAACAATATATATTCAAATATGTGAAACATGTTATTCAGTTTCATTTTATATACATTTTTTTTTTTAAAAAAAAATCAAACGTAAACTTGTATTAAATAACAAACAGATCCAAGATCCAATTAGGCGGGATGGAATCCCAAACACCGAGGACACGGGATGGAATCCCAAACACCGAGGACAGGGGAAGAATTAGTCATCCGTGCAAGCACATGAGCTACATGATTCGCCCTCCTTTGTAACTCTTTTAATTAAATGATAAAATTACATGTTAGCCATATTTATTAAATGTGGAATAACAAAATTTTAAAATGATAACTAATTGTGGCAAACAAATAAAAAAAATGTAATGTAACAAAATTTAGAAAACGTCAACAATTATGTAGTGTGATACTACATCTGTTACCATTTTAAATAGATAATCATATGATTGAACCCCGGGTGGTGGGAACATTAAAAGATTGAAAAATTGTAAAACAAATACTACTTTGTAAAAAATTATGAGTGTTTAAAAGAAATTAATAAATATAACAATATAGATGACTAAAAATAAAATTTAGATTATTCAAAGTTTCAAACTCATTGTATCTATCATTCTATTCATCGATTAATAATTAAATCATTTAAGCATTCACATTGCCAAATGGAAGTGGGTCAAATGAGTACGCCGCCAGTCAAAGCAAGTTGCATGGGATCATTAAACTCCAATTTAAATATGTATTTTCAAATTTTAAATCACTTAATTAACCAACTAGTTATTACTTGTAGTATTTACTTTCTAATTTATCAATTATAAATAAAGACAATCTCAATCAATGTTTTTGAACAAATTTTTTTTTTTTCGTTATTGTGGAAGCAAGAAAAAATGAGGTGGCAAAGAAAAAAAGAGCGTTGAAGTTTTTCTACAAAAATAAAGTTTGAAGGCTTGTGAGCATGTCATAGTGCATGGTAAGTAACTACCCAGCTGCATGAGCATGCATGTTGGGCAATTGGAGTGATTACTAGCTTTTTAATATTATTTTTTATTTTTATTTTTTAAAAAAACTTAAGTTTTTAGTAACATACTTAATTTATCTATCAATTTTAATTTATATGACCACTATTAGCTGTTTGACTTTGTTGAGTATTCAATATAAGTATTTCAAAAAGCTATTACTCTAAAATACTATAATTCAAAAAGCTTGTCAAAACAACTTTTTCGC